AAAGGGCCGGCACCCCGAAGCCGCCGGCTCCAGGGCCAGGTCGCAGCACCCTGTGAAGCACAGAGTGCCCAGGCATGTGACACATTCGTAGCCACCAAATGCAATGAGAGAGGCTGTTGCAAAATTTGAGGCCGTTTTGGGAACAGAAAAAAAAAGATGTGTTTATACAGAAGAGCACGTTACGGAAGAAGGATCAATAAGTGTTGTGCTGATGAGCCCCAGTCGGAATAAGAAAGACAGAGTTACGGATTGCAATTACTGTTTTTATGGCTCTGTTTTTGTTTAATGTGCTCTTCAGTGCTCAGTTACTCCATTACAGCATTATAAACAATCAGGATGACCCCAGCAATAACAAATGAAGCTCTTGATGTTTTATCATCAGCCTAGATATAACTTACAGCACTTTCCCCTCTCTAATAAAATTCTTGATATTCTTTATTTCATAATGTTCTAATTGGCTGCTAGTGAGATCCTCTTTCTGTACCACTTTGAAGAAAATCTGCTTAGATCAGCAGTCCGCCTCCGGCAGATAATTTTTTGCTAACTGCTGCACGAAGGGAATGCCCGGACAGAGCTTTGTTTATTTGCCTTGTCAAATTGGTGACATTTCGGAAGTGTGCCTGCGGCCGGGACGGCTCGCTCAGGGCCTGCCTCCTGCCCACCTACCATTCCTGCCGCCGCTTGCCTCCGTGGCGTGGGCCCTGAGAAAGGATCCTGCCCCAAATACAGAGACCCCGCGGCTCTCACGGGACCAGTGGGGAGGCTGGATACCCACATGTGGGGTTTGGTTCCTCTGCTCAGACTCTGCTCCTGGTTGTGCTCTGAGGCACCAAGAGCCTCGGAAACTCTAACCCGTCGCTGCCGGCATTTGAAGCGAAGGGAGCAGTTTCTGCACTGAAGCACAGCCACATTTGTCCCACTCCAACAGGGAAGGGGTTTCTCGGCAGAGCAGTGGCCAGGTGGGCTGATAATATCCATTGAAAGCCCAAAGCGGTAGTGAGCAGCTGGAGAGTAAAGTGAACAAGGGAGACAGAACCATCCTTTACATCTCCTAGCAGCAAGCTCTGTTGCTGCTTCCCCACCAAGTGTGGCCACTTGGAGGGTGGGCTGGCTGCACCTCAGGTAGCTTTTTACCCACAGGCCTAGCTGCAAATCCTCATCCTCCTACAAGCCTCCAAATGCACTTTCCAGCAGTAACAATTTGGACCTTACATCTGTAAATGTCTTTTGCTGCATAATGCAGAGCAGGGATGCCAGGAATTATCCCTGCTATCCCAGTAAAACAATGCCCGTTCTCAGCTCCTGGGATGACAACGGGAGCACTGCTGATCTGATCTGCCCACTCGGGGCTGGACTCTGCTCCCACCACCAGCAAATCCACCAGCAGTGCTGGGGACACACCAGACATGTCGAGGGAACCGGCCACAAGGAGATGCCAGGCTGCCAAGAGGGACAGCTCGGACAGCTCTAGCCACGGACAGACGTTCCCATCTGGCTGTAGGAGCCTGTCCCCGAGCAGACCTGGGGCTCAGCAAAGGAGGACAGTGCAGGGGTGGTTGTCCCCAGCCAAAATGCTGGGGGGACCTGGAACATGTGCCACCCAGGAGCCAAGCACCCAGGTGCAGCGTGCATGAGAGAGCAGCACTTACAATATTACTGTAGTGGTGGATTTGACCCCACACGGTGCTCAGGTGCAAAGGCCTCTCCAGGGTGGAGGACAACATGCAATTGCACTTGACAAGTAATTTATCGCACTGCTCCCCTCTACGCAGAGTTAATTCAATACTCACAATCCTATTTACTGAAACGCTGGCACCCACGTGTTCTGCCGCCACAATTCGACTCATGCTCATCAGCAGATGTGACTTGTTTGCACAATTAAATGATGTAGCTACACCCTGAATTAATTTATCCCATATTCACAGATCCCAGCCCTCATTCAAGCAGCACAGGGATGGCATTTGGCTTGTTGCACTCCGTTTTATTTTTGTGTGTCTCATGCACACAAATGGGATGCAGCCCAACCTGCAGCTCCAAAATCTGACGGCATGTCCAAATTCACTGCTTTATTACTTATCCTGAAAATAGCCTGGCTACCAATTCTGGCACATGCTGAACTAGCACTGCTGAACTTTTCAGAGATTTGAATCTCTGGGAATCTCTTAACTGCCTGCAGTGCGTTAGAGCATTTGCTAGGAACTGTTTAAAAAGCTCAGTACCAAATAATCCAAGGGCTCTCAAAACCGCCAAGCCATTTCCTGCAGACACTGCCATATGGGCAAGGGGGGGCTTTTTTTAAAAGAAACATGAAATTGTAGCAGTGAAATCAATTATTTGTACTCCTGCTTTGCCCCTGGGCAGCCCCCCTGGGTTTCCCCATGAGTCCTATCGTGTGTCACTGTCAACATCAGGCATCGCAGCCCTGATTAAGTCATTACAAGCCAGCCTGGCTCCTCTGCTGCCATTCGAGAGCAAAGCAAAGCACACGCGGGTGCAGGGAGCTGGGAACACAGCTCCGTGGCAGGCACGGTGGGGCAAGTGGGGCTGCAGGAGGCCTGCAGACTCCAGCTGCTTTGGACACACACGATGCTGTGATTGAGCTGGTGAGACTCACTGTTTACTTGGTTTTCTCCTGGAAGCATCATGAGGAGAGAGAGGGACTTGACCAGAACAGACCATTACATTTCGGCACACCACCCTACCAGGCACCAGGTAGCAGGACCCAGATCCAGCCAGTCCCCCAATGCTAGGGGAAGGTTCAAGCTTCCACTGAAACTCTGGAGATGACAGGCAACATGATCACCTGGGGCAAAGCAAGGGGCATCCAAGGGGATCCCCTCAATCCTCAACAAGCAGGTAGCACCCCCAACACCTGTCATGTGTCCTCGGCCAAGAGCCAGGTTCAGACACATCCAGGGTTTGGGGAATGGGCACTGGCACCCCCACATGAGTCTCCTCTCTTTATTGTGAAATGCTGCCCTCCGGACTCACCACTGCAATCATCACTCATATTCAGGGAATCGCAACACGGACTCCTGCTTGAGCTGCAAGATGCAGCCCAGCCCAGATCCCCAGGAGAGGCCAGTTCAGACAGCAAATATGGGGAATCCTCCACTCCTCAATCTTAAAGCAGCTGCTTTACAACACGACACAGATTTTCCAATAAACGCTATGGAGCTGCCCCCATTGCAGATGCCCGAAGCCAGGCAGAGACCAGGGGTAGGTCTGCCAGATACAGGGAGCTATTAACCAAGCATCAAGCACGGGCAGTTGTAAGCAGCTGGAGCAGGGCTGGTGGAGCTGTTATGTGAGGTTAATTTATCCTTTTGGTGCCTGCCTACCCATGTGCTGCGGGTAATGCAGCATTTGCCTTGGGCAAGAATTACTGCTTGTGAAGCCTGAAGTAGTAAGTGCAAGGGTTCCCCAAAATGCCCTGACCTTTTATTTGCTTTTCCAGCTCCCTTTGCAGGCTTCAAAATTAGAATTGTAAATCCACGTGGCAATTCAAGATCTAAAGCTTATTTCCCTTTCCTCACCTAGGAGATGCTCGGGCGGCATCAAGAGCCCAGAAAAAACAATAAGGGGGAAAAAAAAAAAAGAAAAAATCTCCAGGAGATTAAAAGCACCTGATAGCGGCCTGAGTGCACACAGTCTTATCTCCGTTTCCCAGCTGGGAAGCTGAGGCACAGAAGGATGCAGTGAAATGCCCAGGGAGCCCTGCTGAAGACGTCCACCCCCGTGATGCTGAGTCTGGTGCCGCACGAGCTGCAGAGGACTGATGCTGCTCACACAGCGGTGGCCCTGACTGAGATCCCTGGGAGGGAAAAGGGTTAAAGGAGGGAATTTGGTTACTTTCTTGTCATATTTTCTCGTGGGGGGAGAAGAGTTGTGCAAGCAGGAGTTTTCCACTGGCGCTCGGCCCCCTTGCACTTATCAATGGGACCTTTCAGGACTCACTCCCTGATTGAGACATCATTTCCTGTCCAACACACTAACCCATTGATAACTCCAAGCTTGATGGGAACTTTTCAAACCTACCAGGAAAGGCCAGGAGACCCAGAAGAACATATACATGAAAACACTACTGGTGCAAAGAGAAAAAGGAGAAAGAAATAGTCCTGGCCACAATCTGCAATCTGCACACTGACAACAAATAAGTGGCATTATGGAGCTGGGCATCTTTAGCAGCCACTGCACGTGAGGCCAACTGCTCATTCCGGTGGGACTGGCAGACCTGGAGCCAGGTCAGTAAGGAGTGGAGAGGCAGGAGAGGAAGCTGGAGAACATCTCCCTTTTGTCTGCAAGTCATACGGCAAACAAGAAACTCAGAACTCTCTAGGAAATGGTCTGTTTTTCCTCTAAAAAGACAGACGGTCACAGTGACTTCACATGTCCAAGTACTATAAAGCTATGTAAAAGGAGAGCGGTGATGAAAACAGGACTCTTCAAGGTACCTTGGACCAGGCAGGGAGGAAGCAGTTTCTTCTTGATTTATCATGGCTTGTCCTTGATACTTGCCATGAGGACTCACTCGCTGTTGTAGCCTCAGGCTGGTTTCAACCACAAGCTGCAGCCCCAAAATGACATTTCCCCCAAAGCTCATGAGTCTGTCAAACCAGAGCTTTTGTTTTTGCCTGTCAGCAAACAGAAATTTTATAACCCCAGACACCTACAGCCTGGCTACCTGAAAGGCACACTGATACACAGGTATCCCTGGAGCTGCATTATAGCTCTGGTATAGACCAGCAGCCAGGAAGCTCTCCCTAGCCATGTGCAGCAAACATTCTCAGCACTGCTCAAGTATTTAAAAATAGCCACCATTCCCGAAAATGCCAGCTTTAAATATCTTTACAGTGCAGTAAAGAAGACATCAGTGTGTGCATACCACCCACTTACCTTTTACTCTGAAAGGACCAAGTCTGAAAAATTCCAGGATCAAGCACCATTGCACCAGTTAGAAACATCACGAGAAATAATGTCTTATGTTACAAAAGACTTACCTGCAAGTCAAAGAACTTGCTGTATCTTCTGTAGATGATCTGGGAAGTCAAGTCAGACCATGTCACGTTTATGATATAGACCTGTCCGGGGAAAAGAAAAGAGAGAACAAGTCAACAGGGGCCCTGAAACATCCTAAGGCATAACCATCAGAAGAGGTAAATTTGGGATCTCCCTGACCACTTCTACTCACAATGAGGAATAAAGCCCCAGACAGGGGATTAACCCAACAAAAGCTGCTGCCCTGCCATGGCTGCCAGATCCCAGGAGGGAACCCAGGGTGCTCTCCCACCACTTCCTTTCACCAGCTCCCATTGATTTTGCTTTCTCTGGGAGAGAGCTCTAACCGCGCAGCAGCACGTTGCTGCTCCTTGGCAGCACCTCTGCCCTCTCTCCTGCAGCACCACGAGCTGCCCCCTCTGCAGAAGAGCCCCCAGCCCTGCCCAGGAGGTGGGTGGCTCCCGTCCAGCCAGGATGTTCCAGGGACACTCGGCTCCCCGGGTTTGGAGGATCGCAACGGAGCAACGCAGACACGCTTGGGCACACAGGTACGTGCACCCCCGCAGCCCGACCCTGCGGCGCCTGCCTGTCGCAGCGAGACATTCGTGGCCCCCAGCACCCCCAGCACCCTCCGACGGCACCGCGGTGACACAAAGCTGGTCAGCAAGGTGACCCTGCTTCCGTCCTTGGTGCAAACAGCACCACTAGGCAGCGGAAGCCCAGCAGCACCCCTGTCCAGCCCTCACCTGGGCCCAGAAAAATCATCCTGCAAAAACACTGCTTTGCCAGAAGACATGATTCAGACACATCCACACATATATATGCACACACACACATTTCCTTTTGCCCTTCTGCCTCCAAAACATTAAAAAGAGGGAAAAATGGGTCAAATTGTGCTCTCCTATACACAGGTCTCCAAGTCGAACACTGGTCCTGTTCACAGGACCACAGATACACGAGACTTCAGCAAGCACAGGATGGAGCCATCTGGGGTGACCACTGTGGCTGAGGGGGCAGTCCCAGCGCAGTGCAAACCACAGCAAGGCCAAACCCTGGGGCTTTCAAGCCCTTTCCAGGTTTCACATACGCAGTGAGAGAGGCAGCAGCTCGTGGTTTTGCAGCAGGGGCGGACGGGACGTTCTCTCCATCTGCTGCGCTGGTGGGTGGATGAGCATCACCCTCTTCTCCTCCTTCCCTAGGACCATCTTCCAAAGTGACAACGCAGGACAACTGCTTTTGTGCTTCTAAAGGCAAGAAGCACTGCCCCGAGCCCCTGAAAGGATGCTAAGGGCAGGCTGAACAGGACTTTTCCAGAACCACAGAGGGATTTTTTCCTCTCCTTTCCTTTCCTCATGGGAGAGAAGTGACATCTGATGCCTGGGAAAAAAACGAACATCCTGCAGCCTCGTTTCCCTCTCAGTCGAGTTTTGCTGTATTTGAGGAGGGGACAGGCTGAGCACACGCCGACAGGAAGGTCTGCAGCCTTTTATAGGATGCTGAGGGTAAGATCCCAACTTTGACTTGGTTCCCACATCAAACCTATCCTCTGCTCCCAATGGGTTGGCAAAGCAAGGATTGGGTCTCGGAAAACACAGGTTATTCCACGGCTGTGGCTCAGATTTCTCCTGCAAAACCAAGTCATTTCACCTCCCTCCCTGCGGGTCCATGTTCACAGCAGTGACAACAACGAGCCCGGCTCACAACCAGCTAGTAAGAACAAGTAACGCGGAGGTTCCAGGTCCCCTTTAAAGACTTTTGCCGCGCAGACGACCCAGCGGGGTCAGGGCCTGGGAAGGAAGCTGCCTTTGCCAATTTTCAAGCCAGCCGCACTCCACTGAAGAATATTTTTCCATGTGTTTGTTGTGCAAAAAAAAAAATGTTTGTTGCTTCACTCTGGGCTAATTCACAACACAAATATTTCTACCCGTTCTCTATCCAACAGCTACTTTCAGGATGGAAAACCCATTTGATTAAAAACAGATCATGACAGATGGGAGCTGACTGGGATCCAAGAGCAACTCTAGATACTGTACTTGTAGCCTGGGTTCTCACAAGGGGATGAGATGGGGACAGGAGAAACAGTTCACAGGCAAATCACGTTTATTGGTTTTCTGCAATCGTGCTTCTTTTCTCCAAAAGCTAGAAAAAACACGTAGGCTGTAGCCATCCCGGGGTTTTTCTCTTCACGTCACTTCAGGCTTCCTCACCTTCTTCTTCATGAAAACCACGTCTCTCCAAAATTTGCTAACAGCCTGCAAACCTGCACAGGGGTTAGTCCTGCTCCGAGAGCTCCGCAGCTCCCAGAGGTGCAGTAGGTGCTGCAAGGCTCCAGCACACCGACCTCCTCCTTTGCCCCAGGGCACCACAGAGCCAAGCGAGCAGGACGACTGTTTTTATTTTATTTTTTTTAACACGGACACACAGCTCTATGTCTATATGAAGAGGCTCAGCAAAGCGTGTTCTCCCCTCGGAGCAAGCAGCGACCGGAGCAGGGACGGGGTCAGATGCAGGGGAGCTGCCCCGTGTCCTCGCCATGCCCGTCAGGGTGCTCGCCCCGCTGCTGCCAACCCGCCTCCTGCCCCCGCTTCCTCTCATCCACACGGGCGCAGAGAGGGATGAGGAGCCGTGGATATTCTGGGAACGGGGTTGCACGTGTCTGGTGCGGGGCCAGGGTGCGAGAACAGGGCCCTCCTGCAGCCCCTGCTCCAAAATGCAGGCGCTGCGGGAAGGAAACTTCCACTGGCTTCAGCCAAGCCAGAATTTTGCTGCACATTTAAAATAGGAACTAAACCTTTCTGAGGCTCGGGTCTCTTAGTGTTCAGCAAATGTGGATTTGGGCAGCATACAGCTGCCTTTACTTCTGTTTCATGGATAGATTATAGCAGGAGCAAGAAAACCCTTTAATCATAACCCAGACTTGTGCTTGGTGAGAAATGTAGGGACTTAAACCTGCCTGGTGGGACGCAGGTGCAAAATCTGAAATGGCTATTGATTTTCTCTGCTTGTTTGCATAAATCAAACTGCCTCTGGAAAGCTACCATTTAAAATAGTGGGGAATAACCATTGCTTGAACTCGGAAAAGACCTGTAAATTGCCATATTTTCAAAGCAAGGCCCCGAGGTTTCCAAAGCCCAGAGTATCGGATTTCCCTCCCTTAGAGGGCCCGGATTGGTGATTATCCGATTCTGCTGCCCAGGCCGGACTTGTCACCTTCCCACGAGCAGGGAACGTTACCTGGGCTCCCCTCGGCACCGCCCTGCCCAGATCATCCAGGGGCGGCTGCGGCAGCCCCAGCGCGGGTCGGTGCACAGGGAGGACGAGGAGGGCAGCACCAGAGCGGTCGGCGCGCGGGGAGGACGAGGAGGACGAGGAGGGCAGCCTGGGGCCACTGGGGTCACAGCAGTCTCGGATGAGCGCGGGCCCCGCTCACTGCCTGCCTAAACCCCGAGCATCCCACAGGCCCCGCAGAGCTGGGCGGCTGCACAAGGCGAGGGGCTGCTGTAAACACTTACTCAGGGCAAAAGGACCTGTTTTAAGTATCTGCCCTGTTTCTGACCTTAAAGAGGTCAATACCCATTTGATATTCAAATGCCTCACCCTAAAATTCTCCCTGGCACTAAATAATTCAAATTAAGCACGAAATGCAAACAACTCATTGCTCAACTGGATGCTCCAGCTACCAGGAATGTTTATTTTTCAATTTCACAAATCAGGTCACTTTTCAATCTACGTATTTTAAAATAAATCCTGTTTCTTCAAGGAAACAAGAAGCAGGCCTGTACAAATGGGAGAATACTAACCAGGAACAGAGCTCAAGAAGCAGCTCTTAATATTCAGGCTGCACGAACGAAGGCGCAGGATGCTGGGGGTGGATTTTATCAGCTGCTAATTTTTGTTTAATTCTAGCTGTAGGAAACTTCCATTTTACCCACCACAGAGCAGAAAATTTATTGCAATCTGAAGTTACTGCTCTCCTTGACTGCTGACACTAAACAAGGAGAAGAGATGATTTCCTACTACGAAACCCATTCATTCCGATGTCCCTGGGTGTGACTTCATCACTGAACATCTTATTCTCAGTGGAAAATATCAGCTTCCAGCTGGCACAAAACCCAGAGGTGAGAAATTCACGTTACCCTCATCTGCCTGAGCTTTCAATTGCCTTTCAGAAGGTGTTTTGTTCTCTAGAGCCAAATGAGCTGGAGCAGAAGATAAATGCAGCTGATGGGAGCAGTAGGATGAGACCAAGATAAGAACATCCACAAATACAAGGGCTATTGGCAAAGAAAAAGATGCCAGAATAGAGATTAGCAACACACTCGCATCCATAGGAGAGAGTGCTGTTAATCTTCCACAATTAAGGTTAATGTTAACTATTAACAAAGCTTTATGAATGCAAAAAACAAGGCTATCACGTAATTTGGACGTGGATGACACCACGACAGCCCCTTTTATCCTGCAGAAGGTCAGCTTCAAAGCTGTGCAATGCAGCGTTGGATGCTTATCCTCGAGTGAAACAACACAAGATTGCAAATGACTCCCTCCCCTATACTCAGATAATATCCGACTATTTGGAAAAAGAGCCTGTAGCAATTTCAGCTGGTTCAGTTCAATTGAGAAGCTTATGTTAAAATGGCCCAAACTGCTGCAACCATCCACAAATTCAACTTGCATCTACGCCCTAAGTTACAAGAGGAAACACTGCTCCACCTTGCTGTTTGTGTCACCATTTCGGAGATTCTGACTAGTTCAAATCAGCACTGGCCAAGGCCTGTTTTGGGGTGATGACACCGCAGAGGCAGCACCTCCAAACCCTGCGAGGCCGGAGCAGCGAGGCTGCTCTCCCTTGAGCGTCACTGACCTTTCAGTACCTTCTCCCACTGCACAAGACACAGACAAGTTCCTTGCCCAGACAGGCAGGGGAGGGTCTCCAGCATCCTCAGTTCCTCTCCCTCCCAGAGGCCGGGGTGGCAGTGGGGACAGTGAAACACCCCAGGAATGTGCATGGGGAGCGCAATGGCTCCTGCAGCCCACGCGGGCCGTGCCTTAACTCGGCCTGGATCACATTCAAACTTTTGGCAAT